GAACATTATGAAATTCCATTCAATGAAACACCATACGATTTCCAATTACAGACATATCATGACACTGAAAAACAGATCATAAACTCTGAAATCAATAAGCTTATTAACTTAGGAGCTATTTCAGAATGTAGTCATAATCCAAACCAATTTGTTTCCCCAATATTCCTAATTCCTAAACAAAATGGTTCATTTAGGTTTATTTTAAGTTTAAAACGGTTAAACAAATGCATAAATACAGAACACTTTAAGTTGGACGATATTAGAACATCATGCAAATTGATCTCAAAAAATTATTACATGGCCACTGTAGATTTAAAGGAAGCATATTTTTCTGTCCCTATATTTGAAAATTCAAAGAGATTTCTAAGATTCAAATTTGATGAGACACTATACCAGTTTAATGTCCTGCCTTATGGATTATGTACTGCCCCATTTGTTTTCACGAAATTACTAAAACAAGTTAATACTTATCTCAGAAATAAAGACATTCTCATGTCTTGTTATTTAGATGACGGCATTTTTTCAACTAAAACAAAAATACATGTAGACAAGATGTAGTACTTGCATGAAAATTATTACAGGATTTGGGATTTGTTGTTAACTTTGAAAAAACTGTCCTTGAACCAAATAAAACATGTAAATATTTAGGGTTTTTATTATACTCTAGAAATCTTACTCTATCTGTACCAAAAGAAAAACAACAAAATATTTTAGAAAAAATTAATCTTTTCAAAAGAAAACACATTGCAAAATTCGAGAATTTTCAGAACTGTTAGGTTCTCTAAAGAATTTTCGTTCGAATGTTCGTCCAGTTGTTCCATATGGCTGGGTATATACAAAACTTTTAGAAAGAGAAAAATACCTAGCCCTATTAAAATCTCATGACAATTATGATGATATTATGTACCTTTCAGATAAAATGTGGCCAGAGTTATGTTGGTGGAGTAAAAATATAAAAAAATCTAATCCTATAAAACAATTTCAATTTGAACTTAAAATCGACACTGATGCGTCATCAACAGGCTGGGGTGCAGTCTGCGGCTCGGAAAAATCCTCAGGATCTTGTTCACGATCTCACACAAAATTCCAAATAAATTACATTGAACTAAAAGCGGCATTTCTGGGATTACAATGTTTTACGAAAAATTTACAGAACTATGAGATTTTATTAAGAATTGACAAAATACAACAGCTGTAGCTTACATAAATAAAAATGGAGGAATACAGTTTCCGCACCTAAATGAAATTAGTAGGCAGATTTGGAATTGGTGTGAAGTTAAAAATATCTGGGATTTTGCATCCTATATTAACACAAAAGATAATTTCATGGCTGATAGAGAAACAAGAAAAATTAATATTGAATGGGAACTGTCTCAATATGCATACAAAAATATAGTAAAAAAATGTGGGGTCCCAGAAATAGACCTATTCGCATCTAGAATAAATAATAAGTGTCATGGAAAAAAGACCCTGAAGCTTTTACAGTAGATGGTTTTACCCTTTATTGGAAACCCTTTTTTCTTTTATGCTTGCCCCCTTTCAGCTTAGTCTAAAATATGTACGCAAAATTGTAACAGATCAAGCTACTGGTGTCCTTGTTTTTCCCTACTGGGCATCACAGCCCTGGTTTCCCTTGATGAAACAACTTATGATAGGCGAACCTATACTATTTCAACCCAACAAAACATTACTTTCATCACCATTCAGACATTTACACCCACTATACCGACAAATGACCCTGGCAGCAGGACTGTTGTCAGCGAAGCGTATGTGAGAACAGGAACTCCGGCCTCCGCAATTCCTGTTATGCTGAATTCTTTCGCCTAGCAAAAATAAGCCCTTATGAAGCCTCAGTGCCTAACATTCTAACATTTCTAAATGAAAAACTTAATAATGGCGCGTCATATGGCACTAATATATAAAATTGTTATATAAAGATTTATTAAAGGAGACTTCCTATCAAAACCTCCTAGACCAAAATACAATTTCACCTGGGATCCTGGTTTAGTTTTAAACCAAGTAGCCTTATGATATCCACATGTATACCATATAGATATAAGCTTGGAAAATCTAACTAAAAAGTTAGTCACCATATTAGCATTGACGACGGGACATAGAGTTCAAACCCTGTCCTTAATTAAACTAAATAATATTATCATCAAGGAATCAAGATACATATTCCTGATATCATAAAAACTTCAAAACGAGATGCCCTACAACCAACGTTACACCCAAAAACTTACGACAATAAAATAGAAATCTGCCCAATTCATATCATACGATCCTATATAAATATCACACAGTCCATAAGAAAAGATATTCAAAAATTGATTATTACATATAAAAAGCCGTACAAAAATATAAGCTATAAGCTGTTGGATAAAGACTACTATAGAAGAAGCTGGTATAGATATGACCTCTTTTACGGCTCACAGTACCCGACATGCATCAACTTCAGCGGCAAAGAGGTCTATACTTAATATAGAAGACATAAGAAAAACTGCAGGCTGGTCTCAAAATTCTGAGACCTTCGCCAGATTCTATCACCGCCCTGTAATAAATGATCCGTCAGACAATTGAGAATTCTATATAAAATATGGTTCTTAATCACACACACAAATTATTTAAAATAAAAAATAAAGAATGTAAATCTTTATGACTTTGTAGCATAGACTATTCATTCTTAACCCTAGCTTCAAACAGCTACATTGTTAAACCGTCTCGGACAAGGAGAGAGCACAATTGTATGATTAAACGAACTTACCCTAAGTGAAGTTTATCATAATTATGCGAAGCTCTTTGTCCAAGACGGCATACCCATCCCAGAAATATGTCATATTTATCGAGTTCTTAGGTTTTCGCGATTGTTACACATAAGAAATGAAACTATTTTTCCGGATTTAAATCGCGTATATTTGTCACGGTTGACTGCCCAGTCAACCGTGACCATGGGACCTGTAAAGGGCCCGAAACGTCGGTTTGTTTGAAAAAACAAATATACGGAAAAATAGTTTCATTTCCTATATGTCATATTTCCTTTTTGAACTTTTTCCCTAGATATGGTTGTTCTAATAATACTTTAAACGTAATGACATTAGAATTGCCATATCTAATACGGCCTAGAAGTTTTTTGTTTTAGATCTTTAAAATTGTGAAGGCGCTTGTACAATCAACGTATACTACATCGTTAAAGCGTCTCGGACAAGGAACTTCGCATAATTATGATAGAACTTCACTTAGGGCAAGTTCGTTTAATCATACAATTTTGAGATATGAATATAAGAATGTACCAGTCTAAAGCCATGTCCCAAATATCTATTGTTCCCGTTCTTTGCAATTGCAAAATATTATAAGGTATTTAGTAGCAATAGAGCTCGATGAAAGTGTTCATCCAGGGAAGTACTGCTACCTTACCTATTTCTGGCGCCGAGCAGTAATTTGAGCATTATTGCGTTCCGGTTTTAAAGGGTTAAGGGCGATGGTGAAACTACAAGCACATGGAACTTGTCAACTTGTATCTCAGGATGACGGGCGCAGTGGCAGAGCCCCTCAGATCTATGCGATTTAAAGCTCAGAGCGACACCGCAGCTGCTATGGACAGGCGTGTCGCCTACCAGGTGCACGACTTGTTCGTCCCGTCATTTTGTATTGTAAAAAAAAGATTTTAAATAAATACAGCAGCCTCCTTATAATATACAGGCATTACAAACGATTGTACGTTGTTGTATTGTAAGCATCATTATTAACTTCTAAATAAATGTTATTTATACATTGTACTACTATTTCAAGAATATATTTCTAAGGTGTGATATGGGATAAATGCAATGAATATAGCGAATGTCCGTATTCTGGTAGCTGTAAAGGTACCTCGCTGAATGTAGAAACTTTCATAAGTTTTTAAAGATGGCGGATGGGCAAGAAAGTCCTTTAAATCCAATACAAAGGTCCGCAACAAACGTATAAGAAATTCATAAGATCTGCTGGTTCGATTCGCAGCTCAGTTATCCATATTGAGGCGACAGTTTCTTTGAGTTTGTTCGACATTTGCATCAATAATAATGACATACAACTTGTCAAAATTCTTTGTCGAAAATGGTACTTTACTTCAACTACAAATCGTTCCAATTTACAAAATTAAGCAATGCTGTGATTAAGTGTATCCATATAACATTATTATAAATTCATAACGAATAAAAACTAAGAATGACAATGACTGGTTTCGAAAACTAAACCCAAATACATATTTTATGTAAAGTATTACATAAGCAATCATTACCGTATCAATATTCAATATAAATTTGACCACCATTCGTTGCATAACGATTAAGAAATAGGTACAACGTGTACACCAATATGAGTTATCTATTACTGGCCTAATATGGATTTGTTATTTATATCTATAATTTATAAAATCTGTCATTAATTTTCAAGGCGCGTCTCCATTACGCAAGAAGTTGTGTTAAGTTTAAGTTATTTTAAAAATTCCGCTAAATGTTAACGATACGATTTTTGTGTGGTATATAATAAGTAGCTAACGATAATAATTGTTTTATTGCTTTTGTGAAAAACTTAATCGGTAGGACAGCATTAAAAGATATTTTTTAGTGATAGCAATTGTATCACCGACGCAACGGTGGGACGCATTACGAGTGTTATTCCGTACGAAATATGACACCTTTTAGTTTAGCGAATCTATAAAGTGTACATCTCGCAGGAATATCAAAAAAGTGGTTCCAAATAATAGTTTTGAAACCTGCTTTACCATACTATAAAGATGTTGATTTGTTTAAAATATAGTCTCACTCAGTGATGGAATTGTAATGAAAAAGTGGAGATATAGACCATGGAAAGTCAAGACTTGGGCGAGAACGGTACACTCTCGCGTAGATAATGGTTCATGGCACTCGAAATTTTTGTATAAAACTTATTGGTTCTTAAACTAAATATTAAACAGATTTTATAAATTAAATTTTGATAAATGAGATGATAATTTTGTGTACCTGTGGTAGGTATAACTTGTACGAAGTTATCAGGGAACAATCCAACGCGGCCATTGAGCTCGCCGCGCCACCACCCGCGGTCTGGCGCATCCTTGGACAGGATCGTCACAATATCTCCTTCTGATAGCGACAACTCGTCTTCGTTCACTGCTATATACGGGAATAGTACGCGGCATTGCTCTTTTACTGTTGGGAAAAGTATACTGTTAGAATAATAGTTTAAATTTAAACCTGTTATAAAATACCGTAAGATTGGCGAGAAGATTTTTGGGCAGATCAAAAGGCCTGTGGCATTAACACACTTCAAAAATAACAAAAGTACGGTCACTTATATCTAGTGAACTCTGACCTAAGCTATGTTTTATAAAAGTAGACAAGTCGTCAGTTCTGAAATTAGTTTCTTTTTACAGATCTTCAGAAGATAAGAACACTTATTATTTCTACTTGAAAGGGCAAAAGAAGAAACAAATAGAAATGTTTACCACGTTTAGGTGGTAGCGCGGGAGCAGGTTCAACCGGTACCGCGGGTGGCGCTGGGTCCAGCATCACCACAAAGTTCGAAGGGAACACACCCAGGCGGCCCTGCCGCCGGCCTTGCCACCAGCCTTCCTCGACCTACACAAACGTTAGTGTGTTATAAAATTTCATAAAATAATCTGAATAATCTGTTAATTCGGTAGAAGATACTCTATCGTAATAATATTTTTATATTAACCAATACATAAAGCACAGAGCAACCAATACATTTAAAGAATATTTAACACTGCTATATCAGCTTATGATAAATAATTAATAGTTAACTATAAGGTCAGTATCCAAATCTATTCTATAATTGCTTGTTCTACACATCGATCGACAACCCCTCTAGTGTTGTCTGTCGACGTAGTAGCACGATGTAGCAAATCTGGAACCGCAAAGCCAATAAATGTTTCGTGATCATTATTTAAGACACGTTTAAAGCCAGGATGAATAAAACGCACCTGAGCATTACAACACACCTCTATATATCCAATGAATTTATATTCGCCACGCCGAGACGAAACACTATTGTAAATGTCACACTTTCGCGGCAAAGAATCGCGATATCTCGGCGCTCTTGAGCGCCTATGTTGATGGGAGATCACCATACTTAAGAAACAACATTCCAAACATGCGGCGTCAATGGTTATGATTTGCGGAATGTGTGACTGAACATATCGCACCGATATACCGAATAGGAGGAGGGCTAACAATCGCCGACACACTTCGAACTGTCCTTCGTTATAGTATTGTTGATATTTATTAATCAAAAACATTGCAAGGAAATGGATCGTATGCAACTCTACACCACTGGCGATTTCCTCCTATGAATCATTGTCGGGAAATGGATACGCGTAGAAATGTTACTTTTATAACCTAAGAATTGAAGATTCAGATCATACAAATAACTCTAAACCCCTTTTCTTTTTAACTCGATCGGTAGTTATGAGCGGCGTCCCCGGCATGAAAACAGACACTGGTTAGAGTGCAGTCAGATCGAAGGAATTTCACTTTGTGTATTTGATTTTTATATAAATAATAATAACAAACTAGTGGAGTCATTTTCACAAGAAAATCATGATAATAAAATATCACTCAATAAATAAATATTGCCATTTTAATTTAATTTTCTTTTATTCCTTTTCTAAAAATTAGTATAATGCCTGAACAGCATATTTTAATAGTCTGCCCTGTCTCGCTTCTGGGCAAAGGCTTCCCCTTTCCCTGCATTCTTCTCTACTCAATAACAATACCAAAGTATATTCTTTCCTATAGAAATAATCCAATTTGTCTCACCACCTCTTTCTTTCTACACGGTAAAAACAGATTACTTAAAACTAGACAAATTTCTTTGTATGAAGACAATTTTATTAAATCCAAGAAAACGATTCGCTCCCTATAGACGCTAGAGAATAATTACTTGATAATAGTAAAAAAACGTCTCAAAAGTGTATTTTAGTTCTAAGACAGAAATATTTAATCCAAGAGCAAATTAATTTATTTAAGTCATAAAGCTACTCTAGATTCAAGAAAATATTTATTTGTTATTAGAAATTTCTGATTTTGACTTGAAAAAAAAAAGAATGAAAATTGAGAGATAATTATTTAACTGGAGATTTATGTTTTCTATGTTTAAGAGAAGTTTGATTTCATTCTGAAACCAAATTTCTTAAATTATGACTTTTGGTTCAGTTATATCAAAGCAACTTTCTGCTATTAATAAGTCCATTACAATCTTAATGTAAGATTTTACCGTCTTGGGTTAAAATGTGGGGTAAATCTTAATGTAAGATTTTACCGTCTTGGGTTAAAATGTGGGATATTTTTGATTTAAGTCATTTTGTTTGTTTAAAATAAGGCTCAATTTATATTGCGGTGGAACGGAATGGAAGCGAATTTTTGTAACGATATTATACATAACATAATGAACATTATGGTCGATTGTGTAACGGTACAAACTAGATACGAGCCAAAATCTTCCGCGGAATGCATTCTCGAGCATGTACGTTACACAATTGACCATAAAATTCATTGTGCTATGTACAATAACGTTACAAAAATTCGCTTCCATTCCGTTCCGCTGCTATATAAATTGAGCCTAAGGGCATAGTTTGTGAATAATTAAAAAAATATATAACCGCCTTCAAAACGCAACAATTAATTTTAATGAAGTCGTTGGCGTTGCTGTTATGACGTTCCGACTTTATCAAATTATAATTATTGCTTCTTGAAAACGGTTGTATTTTTTTGAGAATTGTTCACAAATTTAAACAAAATAAAATTGCAGGCTTAAAATACTTGACACAAAACGACTTAAATAATAAAAAGATTATACTTATTTAGGAAATAAATTAAAAAACGTTTATTTTTTGTACACGTATACAATACTGGCATAATATTAGTAAAATACAAAATGAATTATTGACATGAAAAACTTTAACATAGAAAATTAAATCACAACTCACAGAAATAAAATTCGTGTCCCTACATATATGCATATATGTGTGACAAACCATAATTCAATAAACCTTAGGGCTTGTTTACGTAACTTACTTATTTTATATAAATTTGCACTGCAACAACCCTTCTGAATAATTTAAACAATCACACTATCCCTGGAGTATAACATATCTAATCCCTGGAGTATAACATAGGGTTGAACAGACAATTTCTTGCTTGTCGCCTTTTGTTTTTGTTCTTTGATTACTTGGTCTATATCGCCAGCATTCTAGAAATTAAGATAGTATTAAGAGTACATAATGAAACATAATAAGTATCCACAACAGATTTGTGAGCCAATCTTTACCACAAAGTAATATTATAAATGAGGCATAAATATTGAAAACAAAAAATACATATATTATATACAGGAGGCAGTTTTATATATATATACCTACTCATCCGTAGAACAAAGATCTATATGTGCAAGACTACTTGTTCTCAGGACATAGTACATTTCGTTTGTTCTTCTTCGCTGTAAATGTCAGATCGACTGTTGTTGGATTTTATATTTTCGAAACGAAATAAGATATATAAATTGTCAAAACGCCTTTACACAGGCCTTAGTTTGAATAACGAAATTATTCTCGTAACGTTCTTATTCTCTTTTCGTTATATAATCATATCGGACTTCGGATGAGTCGACATATATAACTTCCTCCGTGGCCAAACGGTTAGCATGCCGAACTGCCAACGCAGAGGTCCCAGGTTGGATTCCCGGGTTGGGAGAAATATCTGTATGGCCTAAATTTATTTATCTCGTGAGTTTGAGTGTAATTTGTGATTGTTTATGTGTATATCCATGGCACCCGCGACACAGGGTTTCCCTAGGGCGGGGCTATTAAAAAAAAACATACCGGCACACAAATATATAAGGAGTCAATTGCTTCCTGAGTAGTGAACTTAATTTTTTTTGAAATTCTTCCCTTTGGAGGCACCAGATGTGCGAGTATTTTAAGCTCAGCAGGAAGTGTTACTGTAACAATTGAAAATAATATTATACAATTTTATCTATCAAATTTAGCCACTGTAGCGAAACTCTATACCACTCAAACTTTAATCAGACAACGTAGGCCTCTAAATTAGATCTAAATATTTCGAAGAGAAGAAGGAAAGACATTGTGGTAAAAGTACCTCAAGTAAATACAACATTTGCAAACAGACAATTCAATCGATCGGCCCAATCGATCCAATCGATCGGACGGACGGACAGACGAACGCACGCACGCACGCACGGACACACACGCACACACTGACACATGGACGGACAGACGGACAGACGGACCGACGGACCGACGGACAGACGGACTGACGGACAGACAGACTAAGTTAAAAATGTTAAATGTGAATTTATAGCTATGGAAGAGCGGTACCTCCTGACACTGACGCTTGACAAGCTTAATAGGAGGTACCATCCACTGTTAATGTAAAGTTAATTGCATTACTGAAATAAACATTTTCTTATTATTTATTTTACTAATTCTATCTCAAGCTTTATAAAATTAAAAACGAACACTTACAATCATTGTCTAAATTTTTCAGTGACTCAATAAGGTTCAAGATTCTTTCGTCTCTGTTCGGTTTAAAAGCAATAATTTTTTCGAAAAATATTTTCCAATTTAAATAAAAATTCAGCCCTTTTTCTGGATACAACAAGTCGAAGTCAATGTTTATCTGAAAACAAATATCATAGTTGTCAAAATGATTGGTCTGCGTCAAGATGGAGGGACCCTAGCTCAGAAATGAAACGTAAAACATATGAAAACAGATTACATACGAATATGTCACTTCTTTGGTCTGATAATATTTTCCAGTCTTGTAGAAACTCATGAACGCTCTTGTGTTCACTTTCTTTTCGAACTTTAAACGTATCTTTACATTTTTGTATTACTTCACCCCATGGTTCGGTGTTATCGTTGAGAAACAGTATATCTCTTAAATGTAAATCTAAAAAAAATCATGTTAGTGTTTCATTTTATCCTTATTGAAATGTTTTGTAAGACTTTCATTATTTACCTGCATTCCAATCACCTGACAAATGCCTATCCCACGTAAGTACCTGTTCCTATCTAATAATAATAATATTATAGATTTTTTTAGATAGAGGATATAGTAACAAAACAACCTATTGAAAATAAACATTAGTTCAGCAAAATTCAATAGTTTAGAACTCATGATCATTTATTTACAGTCAATAGCACATCAGACCACACATTTTTATTTGAAAATCGCCTCCAGTGCAACGGAACAAGATACGTCAATGTGTAACTTGATACGTTGCCATCCATACTTTTTCAATATTTTCTATTCTAGTCATTAAAACCACCACCAGTATCATAATCGTTATTCAAACAATTTTAACTTAATTTCTCAAAAGAAAACATTGGTTCAGCTCAGATTTACATGAAATTATTCTCAAACCTATCTATTTATCAGAAGTTCTCTATATGTTTTTAAACATTTTCTTTTTGTGTACATTATGACCATTAGAGAGTTAAAATTGTAGAAACTCATGAACATGAATTGTCTAAAAAATAACGGAGCAATCTAAGAACAAACACAAAAATGGTTCATTGCATGCTAGCTACATGGTTACTACTACTTTAATACCAAATTTCAATTAATTTAGTGGAATAATTTTCAAAATAGACTAGTTTTAAACTTTTGACTAGAGTAGAAAATTTTCAAGAAAGTACATAAAAAAATCATAACTTAAGCTATTGATTTTTGCTAAACTAATGTTTATTTTAAATGGGTTGTTACTCCTCTATGTAGAAAAATTTTTGGACCACTGTAAATGGGGCCCACTTACAGTGGATTTACAGTTACATTTACCTGTATTAAAAACCCAGAATGATGCGACTTAGAATACCTACTCTCAAATACCTAAATAGGTTCATAAATTGCTTTAACCCAGTGAAAGTCAGTGGGTTTGCTTGCAAGCCTATTTAAAAAAAAATTACCTTGCAAACCTTGAATATACTGTCTTTTAAACGGTGGAGCATTTTCTAGAGTGCCAGATTGTCGCTTGTGTGTGGTCTCCATATTTATACAGAAGGTTACGGACTTTGCCCACCAATTTTCCTCGTGCTACCGTAGAACGTCCATTAAATGAATTTTTTTTTTATAGGTTTGGTAAAATAAGTGCCTATTGACTCCTTTGGAAACAGTGATATTATTTTCGCAGATATAATATTATATTCTTCATAGGTTATCCGGCTAAAAAAATGATGATGTATTATTGGGAAGTGTAAAAGTAATCAGAACACAGTATATACTTACTAATATATACAGTATATACTTACTAATTGACAATGTATGTGTAATTATATCGGTCAACTGGTTTCTCTTGGTATTATTGAGAAAACCATATGTTTCATAGTATTTTAAAATACTATTGCCACCTGCTGACGTATGCAGTAGTGTCTCCAAATCAAAATGTGGAAATGTTTTTCTAGATACACTTTTGGTTGTTTCCAAGATGTCGACCACTTGTAGTTCATCTAATGAAACTAATAAACTGGTAAAAAACTAATAAAAATAAACAATCACTGGTGCTTGTCTCAAATTTACTGGAGGTGGGAGTAATAATGACTTGATCATCAGTTGATTCAGATACTGCATCCGTCGTTGCCTGTAAAGTTAAAAAAATAGAATATATTGTGTATTTTATAGTCAAGCTATGTTAAGATAGTCAGTATGAAAGCACTTTCAACTAAATTTTTTAACTTAAACATACAGGTCCCTCACCTGTGCAGTAATAAGCTCCCCTATCTTTTCCTCTAAAGATAGTCTAGTCCCCATATGTGGGCATAATTCTTTCAAATTGTCTAGTTTTAATTTGGGAAAATGTTCAATCATTATACCATTCTCTGCAAAAGTAGTCAAGTTTGTAAATAAAGTCAAATTAAATCAAATATCTTTTTATGTATTTTACTTCTAGTTTAATAACGCACACACACACTGAATAACACACACATTCAATAACACATACACTGAATATACCCCGCACAAGGGAAACCCTGTGTCGCGGGTGCCATGAACACACAAATAGACAAACACAAACTGCACCCAAACTCACGAGAGAAACAAATAAATAAATCCCTCCATTTTACGCTTACATTCAAGGTTATGTACAAAATATCATCATGCGCATAAAAATGTAATACTTACACAATTAATACATAATAACATCAAATCACTCACCAATAAAATTGGTCACTACAAGTTGTGGTATATTCCACGATTCCAAAAGTTCTTTCAACGAATCCATTACTGTTTCCACAAACAACAAATAGAAAAATCAGTTCCTTTTTAAGATTTTATTCTCCTTGCCTTACCTTTTTAAGATTTCAAGTAAAACTAAGTAAGTATAGTTCACTTTGCTTCACATTTTAAATAATTGGCTATTGATTTATGGATGGCTTCTTCAATCGCAGATACCACGGCCACGGAGACGGAGCGCGCGCGTTTTCAACATGTCACGACATGATTGAAAATGACAAAGCAAAATGTTGCCATAAAAAATGTATTCTCGAATTTAGAATATTACTCTTATTAGCAAAATAACTTTTTTTTTGTCTAAGAAAATATTTTCTTAAAATACATCCAAGAAATTGGGGATTCATTTGAGATTATTTAGATTTGATGTAAGAGGAAAAAATTTCTTGATGTAAGTAATGTCCAATTAATTGATTAGAAATGAAATAAAATCTTGAAGTGAACGTATTTGTCTCAAAGTTAGAATAAAGTTAAGAGTAAAATTGTATTAGAAAAAGATAAGCAGTATCTTTGTAATGACAATATTTTATTACTTTAAATAAATATGTTTTCAGAATTAGCAAATATTTTGAGAAATTGCTCTTTCTTATTAGTAGAAATCCTTTTTTTCTGTGTACACTGGCGAAAAGAAAGCACGATGGTGTCTTAATAAACACACAATCAACCCAATAGATTTGCCATCGTATACTTATACTCAAAACTCTTCAACCTTCAATTAAGTGCAGACGAAGAAAAAGGATAAACGGAACCGAGAGGGTAAACATTAAGAGGCACTAGTGAAGGTAACACAAAATCGAAGCAAGAAATATTATTGTGAACCACCTTATAAGGTATGATGATTATATCAGAACCACAATTAGACGAGTGGAACGTAACTTGGAAAACTGATAAGTTATTTCAAACATACAATAGAAAAGGCTGGCGTGGAGTCGGCAATCGGTCTTTTACGACACCATCAAGGGCCTTTTGAAATAAAAAATAACAATAGAAAATAATTACAGGAAAATGTATCTTACCTCCCCAAGCACTTCGAGGACGTCACCGACACACAGCGCCAACTCATCTGGGTTGGCTGGCTGATAGCTGAACACGGCCCGACATCGGCCCTGCACACCGCCCGTCGACGATCTGCACCAATTCTCTGTTTTACTACAAATCGTTCTTAAGATTTTTTCAAAATATCGTGTTCACTTTCGAGTGTGTGCGTTATTATTATTACTTTAATTTAAAAATTCACATTTAGTTCCACTTGTAGAACACTTCATATAGTACATTTATAAATGTGCCAAATTACACACACCTGTAAAATTTATCTCTGACACTTAAAATCAGCCAAGCATTGGCCGGCGTCAAATAGCAACACCTGGGAAGCAACACCTGACAAGACTGACAAAGAGTCCTTACAGAATAACGGTACTGTACCTTATTAACGACATTTGGTTAAAAATATTGACCAGAGCAAACTAAAAAAATATATCACCAAGAGCCGTACCGAACAAAAAACACTAACAGCAGACGCACGTCTTATCACCTTATCCGCACAGATTAGATAATATGCACATTCATTATTCCGCTAATCGAAGAAGTATTCAACAAAACGTATCAAGATCGTAACGTCATGGTATTGTCACCAAAAGTAGGTTTCCCTGTTATGAAAAGTCGAAGTCTACCGAACAGCGGAGCTTGCCTCATAAAAATGCTTATTTATTAAAAATTATGCATGACATAAACCTTACTGTATTCGTAGTATTGTGTAAGGTGTGTGTTGGAGCAATTTACACTCCGTTTAATTAATGACAATTAAGTTAAAACAAATCGGTAATACTCGCTTAAGAAACAGCGCCTTCGTAACGATAAATGTCGCACTCAATATTTTAGAGCATACCTAATCAAGTTATTAATAACATAAAAAAATCTACACCAATATACCGGATTACTAGAAATCTTGATAATCCGGAAGTAGTGATAGGATCTCAGAATTAACTTCGTACGTGATAGACACGGAGAAGTAATATTTCTACATTAGTCAGAAACAAACGGACATTGTGAATCAGTAAATAATATAGTTCCAATAGAAAGTCAACGTATTATTTAATATTATTTTTTGCGTTATTCAACCACCTTTTTTTTGTTAATCCGGGGGAATCTGCTTACAGATACCCTTTTTTTTTTTGGCTCCGCAGGGGCAGAGCCTGGGTTATGTGGGACTGGGCTGAACCCTGAAGGGGAGCAGCCCGACCGCACTACACCCCCGGAATGTTCCTCCTCTCTGCTGCAGGTGGGGGTACGGGTACGCTGTTGCACTCATCCGCGCCCCCACCAGCTGCTGGCCGCGCCCTGCGCAGCCCCTGGAGAAGGGAGACACATCGGTCCCCTGACTCCGAATGTGAGGCTCGCCGAACACCAGACGAGCCTTCCATCCCGGGCCCCTTTGTGCTGGGCAGCGAACTCCTCCGAGTCCGCTACCGGGGCCATGGGGGGCCAGGACAGCATCCACTCAACTGTGAAGTTCAGTGGCTTCTCCCCCAGCCCCCGCGGCGGATCTGATGACAGGCTCCGCCGCAACACCTAACGCGCTTCCGCACGGCCTCTCCGAAGAGTGTCCCTTGGAGCGCCCACCACCTTTTTCTTTTTTTTGCGTGGGGAAATCTAGCTAGGATACCTCTCCGCCGCGGGGGCAGCGGGAGGTTATGACTTCTACCGGCTAAAACCCCACGGTGGCCTTCTCGGGTGCTGTAGTGGGAAGGATCCGGGATCGACTTTGCGCACCGGAACCCCCCCAGCACCTAGGAGGAGCTACGTCCTCCCCCTCCTCTCCTCACGACGAAGCGGGCCACACCGCCCCGTCGTCCTCCTCGCGGCTGCCTAACTTACTGGCGAACGAAGCCCCCGCTCCGATCGCCCGCAGCCGCGAAGGTACGCCGCCGCCGAGTGGGATCAGCTTCTGAAGCATCACCGCTTCACAGAAGGAGACCACTGCCTCATGGGACTCTTGATCCGCCAACATAGCCGCTACTATGCCTGGCGGAGAGAGATCTCGCCCGATGCGGGCAACCAGGATGTTCCGCTCGGAGACCCATGCGGGGCACTAATCCAGCGTATGTTGGGCGGAACCTGGTCCCTCCCACTGTGGTGGCACTGCGTCGTCGACTCGCGTCCGATCCGATTCAGATACTCACCGAAGCATCCGTGCCCGGTGAGTATCTGTGTCAGTCGGAACGGGAGCGCCCACCACCTAGGTCAACCTATACTATTCCTGTCAGTAAATAAGTTTTCTGTAGGACAAAAATAGGTAGTAATATTGTGCATAATACTAAGAGTCGGTGCCAGGACTAAGCATTGAAGACGATGTTAACAAATTATCAATTATTACGTCATATGTAACATATAACATACGTGCGAGTACAATGACATCACTGTATATCGGATGACTAAGATTAACAAAAGCGTGAGTGCAAAAACAACACGTTCTTTGTATGAAACCTAACGCGTTACTGAAAATAATGTAATAAAGTTCATTGGTTCTATATTTTTAGTGACTCACGAGGCAAGCGAATCCTTTCCTTGACAAAGTTTCATTGAAGGAAAATTATGACGTGACATATGTAGTATATGTATAATGAACGTGACTGACGGTCTCATAGAAAAAATATTTAAGTATCAAGTGCTATCAGAATTACTTTTTACATTAAATCTGTTGCAACAATTTTGACCCTAATGATCGAATACTAACTAGTGACATCCCATAAGGAAGTCACCAGATTTATCGATACGGACTCGCATTAGGCCAGTCAGAACAAATCCTTGTAAGCATAATAAGAGTGAAATAGACGAATATACTTGGTAGCAGTAGAGATGCTTGTGAAAGAGTTCATCCGGGGAAACATTGCCAATCAACTGTGTTTTTTTTGTTTTTATAATACCAAGTGACGGAAAGAAAAAGTCGTGCGCCTGGTGCTAAGCGACACGCCTATTCATAACAGTTGCTGTGCCACTCAGAGCTTTAAATCGCTAAGATCTTAGTGGTACTACCAATGCGCCCGTCACTCTGAGACATAAGTTGACAAGTCCCATGTGTCGGCAATTTCAACAGCACCCTTACCCTCCTAATCCAGAACGTAACATGTAACATTGCTCACATTACTACTTGGCGGCAGAAATAGGTAAGGTGGCAGTACTTCCCTGGACGAACTCTTTCACAAGGATCTCTAGTGCTACTGTGACTCAGGGTGACGGGCGCAGTGGCAGTGCCCCTCAGATCTTTGCGATTTCAAGCTCTGAGTGGCACTGCAACTGCTATGGACAGGCGTGTCGCTTACCACAAAGCGCACGACTTGGCGGTCCCGTCGCGTCACTTGGTATAATAAAAAAAAGATGCTGCGCGTTTCGCGTCGTGCAGTCCGAGCGGTAACGATACACCCGATGTCTTTCTCTGACCGGGCTCAAGACTATTCCGCATAAAAACGTGTGGATCTACCTATATGCATATACTCAGGGACTCATAACTTCTCTAACTCATCTTTGTCATTTTAATTACATGTGACAATTATGAAGTATGTTTAATTAAATCGCTTTACCTTACTAGGAATCTTAAAATTTTGAGAAAGCTGGATGAAACATGGATGAACTCACATCTAAATAAAGGCTATAAAAACAAAAGCAAACAACACTACACGAAACCAGTAGTATATCATATTATAAAATCTACAATATGTGTGTCAGTGAACTAGAAACATCAGAGTCACATGGTAATTGTATACAAGTTTATAAACCTGTTTTAAAGGAGCACGACTAGTACGCAGCAGGATGTAGTATTAATACCGCATCTGAGTAACAGTAAATCTTATGACCTCAGTCTTAACCCATTTTATATTATTTTAACCTGTGGCATATAATTTGCATCGCACTAAATTGTGGCGCAGAACGTAACTTTTGCAGTCAATAAAGTAATAACCAAGAAAATAGTCATAAATCGGTGATTCCCTTTCCAAGGGTTTAAGTATGCACAAACGAGCAAAACACTTAACGATTCACGGAAAAAATAAGCGTTGACTAATTTATTAAACAAGTAAATTAAATGATTCAGCCTGCTTTGCGTAGTACTGAAGAGATAAATATTGTAAGTCGTAACACAATAGCGAAAAACAACAGGGAAGAAACGCTCACGTCCCTAAGCATGTCGCAATAACAAAACGGGCGATGGGATCAGAAGACCCTTATATACCTCAACAAACATATTGTTATTCGTAGAAGATTCATAGAAAGTGAAATAACCTTGAGATCTCTGTGACTTTTATGAAAACTTTATTTAGTGAGCGATTTCCAAGGTGTAAGATATCTTTGCTAGCCAAGAAAAACAAGCAACGCCTTTTGTACATAGTTCTTTGTCAATGAAAAAAGTAGCGATATACCTGTGAACAACATATTCAAATGATAAACAAAGAATACAGGGTGCTGGTCTAAAAAATCATTTGTTCAATTGGGGTATCATCATCTTACAGATAATCCTACAATTGATTGACATTTAAAATTTTGCAGTGAATTCGTCACCTCATGTATGTCAACATAACACGTTGAAATCCACAAATTTTATGTTAGATCAAGAAGTAAAGATTGTGATCGACCATTTTCAAGTGCCAGTGGTTCGCTGGTTGCCCTCTGGAGTCAGTAATTAATCCCGAATTTGCAAAGAAAAATATTTTTCAATGAAATTTGCCAATAAGCAAGGTGGTCCAATCTGAGGTAAAGAAAACTCAAGATTTGGATCCACTGATATCATCGATACGTATTTTATTCAAAATCAGTATGGTAATTTGGTACTGCGCTAACAGATGACGACCAATCCGAGAGTTGACAATTAGAAGATATAATGTTCAAGACCAGCACGATTTCAGTATGAGAGCGCCATGTTCTATGCAGCCAGACACGCCACAGATGTATTAACACAGCATTTCAGATGCCCCTCAGATCAGCTCCTTAATACAACTAAATTCCATTTTTGTGAGCATATTTTAAATTTCTTGGCTACACAGACAAACAGAAACCAGAAACGAGCTATAGGAAAAAATTACTCGTATAATCGATGTCATGATCTTGAGTTAACGTAAAAATTATTTGCATACAGTATAAGAGATTTATTCAAAGATCACTTATTGGAAAACCCCGGGTAATTTCTAAGATTTTCGAGGATATTATCGCTGCTACTGATATAAAAGACCGTGCTAAAACTCCGTTTAAATTTCAATAATGAATAGCTACCTATACTTAAACTCTTCTAGATGTATGTCGGCAATTTGAGAGAACTCTTTATTTTATTGACATCAATAATATTAATGTTAAAACCTATTGAGCATACCACCATTTCGCTAAAGTTTTGTCAGCCTTTCCTAAGTAATAGAATGACAATCAATAAACTCGGATCTTTCATAGTAAGCCGGAGGAGGGAAGGGAACTGTCTCGAATAATCACCCTCATCGAGAAGTTTAAGTTAACTTCAGAACTAAGTGGGGTGCGTGAATTACGGCACCTCGTCATTTGCAAAGTAACGCTAACTGTTTCCCACGCAACCAGTCAATGTATATTGGAATAATACAGCACAACCTTACAAGTATATTGAGTGATTTTTGTAATAGAAATTCATCTGAGCGAGTACTTAAATAAAACTGCTTTTCGTTCACCACTCACCTAGTGCTGTGATTTCCCTCAGTAAGTGGTGACACGAAGTTGTCCGGAAACATGCCGCGTCGCCCGCGCAGCTCCCCGCGCCACCATCCACCCGACAAACGCTCCACGTCGTGCAGGACGTCGCCTGGCCGGATCGTCAGCTCGTCCGGCTCCAATGCATCGTATGGATAGTTTACTATGCACGATCCTAGTGACAAAATTTGAGATAAACACTTGCAACATTAAATATGTTTAGGACTTATCGAATTCTTAGATTTTCGCGATTGTTACACATTGGAAATACTACTATTTTTCGGATCTAACTCGTGAATAGTTTTTCAAACAAACCAATGTTCGGGCCCTTTGTTCTATAGTCTCAAGCCTAACTGATAAATATAGGTGATTTAGATCCGAAAAAATAGTTTCATTTCCAATGTTTAAGACTTTGTCCTGGTAGTGGAAAAATAATGGCTAATTAAAAAAAAAATGTTCTTAAATATTTATAATGGCACTAGACTGCTTCGTCCTAATGTCAATCAGTAAAAGGTTAAATGTTTTAATAATGAATGTAGGTATAATTGGCCATAGTATAGTGCACAAATCTACATCCTAATGGTGTTGTAAAATAAGATTCAAAATTTCAATATCTTAAGGTGGCAGTTTATACATAAAAAGTTCATGAATTTTCATTTGTTGATTCACAGTCTTTTCCATGCAACTATATAATATGTATGCATAACAAATAGGTCTCTCCATGCAGACTATTCTGCACTAATAAAAGTTATCTATTAGTATCCATCATGTGAACCATTACACATAGCAGCATGGAGAGGCCTTATAATAAAATATGCAAGCAGTGGTATTTTTAACTTAACAGCCTTTGTCACTCTCTGGAAACATATAAAAAAACTATTGTAAAACTCATAGGATAAATAAATAATTACAATATAGATTAGAATTTCTGAATGATTAATGAACTATATGGAAACATAGATTTTTTTTCACCAGTTTTTTGTTTTGTCGTGTTTTGTGAATGAGATATGGCAAGCAAGTTTAATTAGTCATATACTTTAACCAAGCCACTTACAAGATTTATACTTTTGTCTTTAAAATGGAGAAACTCACAACATTTAGTAACAGTAGAGCTCCTTCTGAAGGAGTTCAGTCCAGGGTAATACTGCCACCTTACCTATTTCTGACGCCAAGCAGTATATCAGCATTGCTGTGTTCTGGTTTTAAAGGGTAATGGTGCTGATGAAATTCGATGCACATGGGACTTGTCAACTTATGTCTCAGGATGATGGGCGCAGTAGTAGTGCCCCTCAGATCTTTGCAATTTAAAGCTCTGGGTGGCACTGTAACTGTTATGGACAGGCATGTAACTTATCATCAGGCGACGACATCGAGCGCACGACTTGTTCGTCCCGTCACCTCAACATTACAAAAAAAAAATTTGGAAATGAGATTAGGAAGAGAAATAGAGAGAAAAAAAGCGATTATGTAATGAAATATGAAATATATTAATAAATAATTATTACAAATATTGGAGAAATGTATGCACCCCCCATGGAAGAACGGTATAAGTGGAGTTACACCAAAAATTTTTATTGCTCCATTAGATACAGAAAATATAACTCACATCCTCTCCAATTCTTGTAATTCCATTACCTAATATTGTAGATAGAGTTATAAGAATTGTATCCCCACACCAAAATGCCTCTGCCCACTTCCATCCATCAATAGTTATTATATATACTGTTCTGAGTAGGTAAACAATGGGGACTTTCACCCAAGATAACACTATGGCTCTACACAGCAGTGATAAGACCCATGATCAGTTACGGCGCGATGGTATGGTGGCCACGAAGCAAGCTGACGACCGCAACCGACAAACTGGACAAATTCCAAAGACTCGCTTGCATGGCGACGACCGGCTACATGAGGACAACTCCAACTGCGGCCGTCGAAGCAATACTAGACCTTCGACCCCTCCCACTGTTCATCAGACACGAAGCGGCGTCAACAGCAGTGCGTCTAAACAGACCCGGCCTTTGGAAGCACATGAGGACCCCACATACAGAAATCCTTTATAAGACTGTCAATGAGGAACCGCTACTGGAGGCGGTTGTGGATAGGATCCCAAAACAATAAATCTTTGACAAAAAATACAAGATACAATTGTTTGAAGATCCCAACGAAGGACTAAACCCCAGAGAGGTCCGAGTCTTCACTGATGGATCTAAAACAAATTCAGGAACAGGTACTGAGGTATTCTCAGAAGACCTCAATATCAGGATATCAGCACCACTTGGTGACCACAACACAGTATTCCAGGCTGAATGGCGGCAGAAACAATCATAGCGAGAAGAGTTTCTCCAGTTTCTCGTAATCCATTCGAACACTCTCCAACAGTATGTCAGTACTTCAAGCACGGAATAGCTATGACATAAACTCAGGGCTCATTTACGAATGCCATCAAGCACTCATGGAAGTATGTATACAAAACCACGTAACTCTACAGCGGATTAAAGGACACAGCGGCTCACATGGCAATGACTCAGCAGATGAACTAGCCAGAAAAGGGTCGGAGACGGACGCTGTAGGACCAGAACCGATAGTGTCCCTCCCCTACCAATGGTCCAGAACAACTATACACAAAGGTACAAAATCTTCACATAATAATACATGGACAACCCTTACGGTTTGCAGACAGGCAAGGGAAGCACTCCCAACACTCAATGCCAGTCTATCTCGAATATTAATTAAACTTAAAAGGCAAGAGCTTCGCACTCTACCTTTTGCCCTAATGGGTCATGGTCCATACAATAAACACCTCTTCAATTTAGGTATCACAGACAACCCTCTATGCAGAGCGTGCATGGAGGGGAAGGAACCGGCTGCGCACATCCTACTTCAGTGCTCCAGCGTGGCCAACTACAGGGCAAAGTACCTTGGAGTGCCATGGTCGCTCCCCGAAGTCAAACCAAGGAGGCTGCTGAGATTTCTGGAGGAGCTTGGGTGGCATGAGTAGGACCCTGCACACACCACACGAAAATAGGCACCTTGTTGTTGAGTTGCGGATACCAGCCCCTTGCACCAAGTAGCAAGTACTGTTCTGAGTTACACTGTGGGAGCAAAAGATCATCTAGTAGGATGCTGAAAACAGCCAAAGTTAGTACCTACAGTCAATACTCAAGAGACCTGTTTGAAGCACATCCTTAGTTACTAGCAGAGAGTATGAGTTTTTTTGTATAATATCAAATTCCTCTTGAATACTGGTGAAAAAATAGAAGGGCATAGATACCAGGAAATTTGAATGTCCAGAATGTTAAGGCCAAGTATGTCAGCCCAATAAAACTAAAAGAAGAGATAATGATGCTACCAAAGAAGCAGCAAGCACTATATGTCATAGACAGAGTTGTTGAGTTGGAATTGCAACTCTGGAAACTTACTTTTTGTGAACAAAAGATAGACATAAAAAAGAGGATTAAGCCAGATGTTGACCATAAGACAATGTAGTATTTTGATAAGAGTATCGACATAAAACCTCTGATGAAAGGAAAGGAAATTAATCCCAGAATCAAGTGAAGTCAAGTTTTGTATGGATATGGCTCCATCATTTTACACAATGATTCCGCCAACATCAGGGTTAGAAGATTCAGTGCTGTGATGAGACAAATTAATGGTTTTGACAGGTTTTTGCAATTGAGTGCTATGGCAAGACAAAGTGATGGTTATGGAAAGGTTTTTGCATAGGTTTGAATGATTCTTTGTTTAGTATTTTGTAATAAAATATTTAGTCAGTATAGAGCAATTACTTACTCGTACAATTTTATCTTATTAAGATTTTGGAAATTTAGACAAAGTAAATATTAGTGAGGAGTGGGCATTGGCCATGAAATAATTGACATTGATGATTTCCAGAAGTGACAGTAGCGGAGGATGTAGGTAAATTTAGGAATCTATAAGCAGAATCATGTGGTACATAGCATCTAGTAAGAGTTAAATTGAGAATGAAGGTTAGCTGGTTTGGTGAAATTAGTTTTCTAGTTGTTGATGATGACAGACATGATAGAATCATCAGAGGATGACTGCGACCAGCACACAGACAGAATCTTCTATGGGAAAATTAACATATTATGCATATTTATATTAATTAAAATAAAAACGGCTGATTTAATCAATTGAAAACATACACCAAGTAGTTAACACTGTCTGCACACTAAATGAGCTCAAATCAAGAAGTTGCCACTAACTAATTTCCACTTAATGTGTTCAAATGCTAATATGAAGGACCGTCGCGCTTTTTGTTTATTAGCGTTTAACATGCATATGACATCACAATGCCAAGACCATGACTCATAGCCATAACACAGAAATACATGAACAGTGAACAATAATATCAACTACAAAATAAATTCTGCATTCTTTCTATCGTACCAAACTTTGCAATGATAAGAACACGTCAAAAGTAAGATAAGCCAATTTCCCCCAAAGGACGCCCGAAATAAAGACCTGCCAAATTACTTGTAAAGCCTTTCCGTACCAACACCACACAATAAAGATGAAAATACTTGAATACTACGATTTTAAGACATTGCACGTCACCTAAAGCCGTGTCGCATGTTAGAAGGTACAGTTATTCATACACAAACAAGACATGAGTAAAGAGTACTTACCCTTTTGATTCGCATTTGTCTCCATTTCAGATGAAACTAAACATCACATTATCACAACACATCCACTTGAACCTTAAAGGAACAGCACATCTCTCTTTACAACTAGCGATTTTTCTTTAATTTATTAAAAATAAGCACAAATGCGAGCAGAAATTCGACGCGCTTTTCAATCGTTCACGTCAAAACTAAATTTTTTTTTCGAGCTTTATTGTGACAATCGCGCTACAGAAATTTGCTTTTAAGCCTCTTTTGTTGTAATGGAATTCTCGTGAATTTGTTTCCCAAATAAAATGTAGTAACAAGTAGAATCGTGCAATATTTATTTAAATTTCTGTTTAGGATTAATGATTATTGATACTTAAGATTTAAATTTGACCCTATGTTGCTTGTGATAACAACGCTAACACGAGCTCATGTAGCGCCTGGATGCAATAAATACCTTGGCGCCCTCCAGTAGGTACACAACCAAAATGAGTTGATTATTTACAGTTATAATTTCCCCATTGATCGGAAATTTTGGTGTAAATGGTACAACTACAAATATTAACGGTGCTCGTCGCCCC